TCTTGTGTTACAGCATGAGCTCTTTCACACTGTTTGACATGTTACTGGTTTGAAAGCATGTAATGGCTTATTGCAAACCTATTGCAAAGATTCCTCAAAGAGCTGACAAATTGTCACAATCACAAAAGATTTAGCTAGCAAGTTAGCATCTATTAGCACCTACCAACAGCTAAGTGTCAGCAGCCAAAGCAAATGAATGAGAACCGGGTCATAGAAGGAGGGGACTGCAAGGCCTCAACGCAAGGCATCTTTGTGAGACCAGCCCAGGACCTACCACTGCAGCACAATAGGCAGAGCTGCAGAGCTGAGACTTCCACACCATCACACAAGTCCTGGCTGAAGTGAAGCTAAGGCCTGCTTTTAAGCAGCTGTATACTAACCAGTTCTTTGCATACACTGAGAGGGGAAATAAGCCACCCTTGAGTTTCTTCTAAGTGTGCCTTTCTCTGCAAAGTAATTGAATTTACTACAATTTTTCTAGTATGCCCTAAAATCTTACACTTCATTATAGTACTACACAATTTGAAAAACATTATTTTCATCTTTTATGTTATAGAGAAACCTTTCTTAAAAAAGTCTGGCTTTATCAATCTTGGTTGTTCCAGGATAAAGCCCTGAGCAACCTGATCTGCTCTCATTGATGACCTGCTGCAGCAGGAGCTTGGACTAGAGACCTCCTGAGGTCCCCTCCAACTTAAAGCTACCCTATAATCGTGTCAAACAGCCTTAAAAAAAAGGAAGATACATATATAAAAAACACTATACAGAATATCCAGTTACTAGGATCCAAGTATAAATTCAAATTGCAAAATACCACACCGCAAAGTTATCAACTTAATTTCTTTTTAAAAAACAATTCAACATGATCCATAAAATACTTCACTGTAACACAACTAAAATATTAAAGTTTGTAGATATGAGTGGCTTTAATACACAAAGTGAAAAATCTACTAAACAGATTTCTGCATACAACCTTTAATGAAAACTCAGTGCAGAAACATGAACTAGCAGCAAGATTCTGGGTATTTTGTTTGTTACAGCATTGGATTTACATGCAGCATTATTAAATGGTAAGCTATCTAGACAATAAAATATCTAAAATAAAAAACATAATTTGAAATAAGTCCATTTTCACTAAGGCAACGAGTCAAAATTTCATATTAAAAACATGTTTGTATACAAAAATAGGAATTTTAACAAACAAGCAACGAGCACACATACATATTGTTTGATCAAAACATTATGTAATCGAAATTCCAAGTTTCATTAAGTTAAAATGGAACACTATTATGTATCACATGAAAAATGAAGTAACATGTTCCAGTCATGGCTGACAGAAAATTAAAGATTTCCAAGATCTGTCCCAAAATAATTCTCTTATATTTAAGTCTTGTTTCTGAAAATACATATTTTATTCCAGCACTAAGATGTCAAGAGATGGTATAAACCATTTATAGCATTATATACAAATGTATTTATTCTCAAGATTGTAAAAACTAATTTACCAAACAGTTACCAAAAAGCCCAAGCAGCAGTAGCAGCATTCACCAGAAACACTCTCCAGTTTTACTTTTAAACTATATTCTCAGGCTCATTAAGCTTAGAATATTATTCCTTTGGGCTTACACTGAAGAGTAAAAATTGTACACCATGCACCAGTTCATGCTTAATGTGAAAAATTACACTTAAAAGCAAGGTGCAGTCACATTGGAAGTGGTTACAAATGTTTGAGCGACTTCTTTTTGTCTTGAAACACCATTTTACAATCAATATTTTTATTCTACTAAAAAAAAAGATAAAGAAAAAATTCCCCCAGAAAGGGGAAAATTTCTGAGAAGACGGAGAGTTAGCTAGAAAAGATTTATGCTTTTTTCAGGTTTTTTTATGTCTTCCTTATTTTAAATATTGGTTTTGATACACTAGCTTTTGTTGCAAACAATCCTACCTGCACTAATCACCACTCAGGAAAAAAAAAAAACTCAGCCTTGAACAAGATTTTTAAAACTTTCTAATGCCTGGCATGGGCTCCTTTTTAATTTTCATTTATTCTGACAACATTTAGTAATAAAAGCAGTACTTAGTGTATACTATAAGAAGCAGGAGTTGCCAAGTAATATTCCTCAGTAATTCAACATTAAACAGCACAATTACTTAAAAAGGAAAATAGTAAGATGCTTAATTGCAAGAGTCTATCTTTCTGTGCAATGTTCATAACACTACTTAATATCCTTTCCTCTCAAATAGTTGACTTGAGTCACACTGTTGTGAATTTAAGACTTTCATATTAAGGGTAAATGGAAGCAGCTAGACTGACTGTTGCTCTGTGCTGCTTGTAGGATATGAATGGAATTATATGTATTTACGAGAGTTATAGGCAATACTTAAAATTAATTACTGAAATAATAAGTCAAAGTTCTAATGACAAAACTCCGGTGACTGAAGTAATGCTTCCTGGATATAAATGTTCAGGAAACAACTCTAAACACTACAGCAGTCTGTGCTTAGCTTGCTGAAAGAGCACATGCCACAGCTGCCTATGCTTACACACCCAGAGGGCAGGACAGAACGACTGCGGAAAACAACGTGTCTGGCCAGGGAGAATGTTATAACCAAACAAAAATCAAACACTTTCCAGGTGTGCAGATAAAAGATGACTAATAAGACGCAGACTAAAGTATGACCTCCACATTGCTCATTTCCAGCTTTGTTAATTCCTATTGGCCCCTTCCAGCTCATACAGCCTCCTCCTAATCGGCCTTTGCTCCGAGGTGCCCACTACTCTCAGCTGTGCTGACCGCCCAGCTCAGCAGGCAGTGCGGTCCCTGAGGTCCTCCGGGCAGGGGACACCGGCCCTTGCGCAGAGTCTCCTGGCCAGCCTTGAGCACAGCCCTGGTGCTGCGGCTGCCCTGCAAGGCCTTTCTCCACCTCCCTGCACTGCAGCCTACTCTAAGGCCTGCTCCTTTTGATGTCGGAGAAAATGCAAAGAAAGCCCATTTTATGCCCTTCTAAACACCCCTCTTTGCTCAGAAGCACAAACTAACCACTTCTGCTCACACACTGGGTGCAAGAGGAAGATGCTCAGTGCTTGGCAGGAGTTACATGGCACCCAGGGAACGTTCACCATGACACTGTCTTTCCATTGAGCATGGAGCGCTGCTGAGAGCCAGTGGCATCCAAACAGCTGCGCACACAGCAGAGCATGAGCGTTTCCATACCCTGGGAGAAGCCCAGGGAGCCTGATGATTTGGGTATGGGGATTAATATATACATATATTTTTCCTAATAAAAGCAACTAGGTATTGATTAAACATTAGTATATGAATAGTTTCAGTTGGGCTTTTCAATAGAGGAGTGGCCAATACTTCCTTTATTATTATTATAAAAGCTCCACCTAGGCCAAAATGCAGTGGAGATCTGTGAATTTCCAAAAGATAGTTGGCCTTTCTTCAGTAATAGCTCACTGACAAACTAGTACTTTCCATTAGCAAGACAAAACCTTGGGTCTTTTGAGACACACCAAAGGGTACCCTCTAAAGGTGCCACTGACATCAAAAGACCAATTGTAAGTAAAAGTATCAAACAGAACAATAAACTAAAAATAGGCATATCCAATGCATACATGAAGTAGACAGAAAAATGCCAAACACGAGTTTTTTAACCTATATTCTAAACCATGAAAAATTACAAGTGGGCTGTCTCAAAGAATATCTAGTCCTCAGTACAAAGTGCATTTATCATATTGGCATATCAGAAAACATTTACATAGAAAAGATGAGAGGGAAGATCTTGCAGCTATCCATTTTTATACACTATTAATGTATAGACTTGTAGACTTCATCATAATTCACAAAAATACCAATAGAGAGTTCCAGCACAGAAACAAGTTCAAATGAAATCTTTACAAAACTGATAGATGTGCAACATTTGTAATATTCCTTCAACATGCAAAGAGCACTCTTACAAAGCACCATTTCTTCAACAACATAGAGTTGATGCACTAGCAACAGTTGTAGTATAAAAATAAACACAATCACTCTGCTAAAAAAAAATAGTGCAAAACTATGTTTTATCATTTGATAATGTAAGTTTTTTCTGATACATTCTCTTACAAAATATGAGGATTCTTGAAAAATTCTGATTCCATCGCTGCTTCTTCTGAATTATTTGCACATTTTCAAGTTCTAGAGTTCCTCAACTTTTGAGACACTGTGAGATACTGATCAAGAGCTCTCAAAATCTATTGAACTGAATCAAGACCATGCATCAAAAAAGTGTTTCTTGGGCTTTGGTAGCTAATTAAATATTGAAGTCACTCTCTACGGTCTCAGTACTTCACTTGTTTTATTGAGAGCACCCCACTTTCAGTGGTATCTAATATGCAAGAGATACCCTAACACATTATTTGTATTGTTAAGTAAGAAGTCTCAGACTTGAAGAACAATGAAGCACAACTTTCTCAGTACAATGAAGTACAATTCAGTCTGAAGCACAATTGCACTTCTCTCACATTTTTAAAAAAGTTGAAAAATGTTTTCAACTGTCAAGAAATTGTTTTAATAAAAGGCTGCTTAAAATCACATAATCCTGAAGGGTTGCAAGGGTCCTTTATCCTCTGATAACTCATCAGTGGAAGGCTGACATCCAGTACCATCCGTCATTTAAATAAAATTCACAAAAGATAATTTAATTGAAACAAATTGAAACGTAGCAGTTAACTTGACTAAGAGCTCAGACATTTAAAAATTGCTTCCTGTTAAAGGGACATCAGCACTCACTAGTGTCGAAGTCCTTGTACACATTACAAATTATAAAAAAAAAATCCTTTTTTTGTGAGGAAAAGAGATTATATAGAAAATCTGAAGGCCAGGCCTTTATATATTTTATTTTAAATCAACTAACTCATAATTGTGCTACTTGAAAACCACCTAATGGAAGAAGGTCCCTTTAACAAGGAAGGAAGCAGGTATCACTTAATCAGGATGTGGGAACGGAATCCGTACCTATGTGTAAATGGCAATGCGTTCTGGGTTGGTTCAGCCCTTGGTTCTGAGTTCTGTGTCACTTCCGGCGTTGCTCTCTCATCATCTGTTCCATTAATACTTTCGGGCGTTAAAGGAGACTGTATATCCCCTCCAGCCGATTCCTTGGCAAAACAAATAAACAACAAGTTTCAATTACAAGCCGATCTACTCAGGCAATGTGCATATAAGCTCTAACATTAAATGATAAACGAGATAAAAAGATTTCAGGCAAAAGTAATGTGAAGCTCGCAGATTTATGGTATGTCTTACATTCATGTTTTATCATGTGATAAACTTAGTGTAGACCATGAGATTATCACACAAAAACCACAACTGACTTATGATTTATTTGCAGGTATCCAACCTCCTGCTTACTGGCTTTGTAGACCTCTGTCTCTTATCTGATACAATATTCAGCCCTCAGGTGGCTAAAGGACTGGCAAATATTCACACCCAGCATTCTTATCTCTTAATTTGTATTCTAAGAAGGAGAAACAAGCAACCTTGATATTTATTTCAAGATCTAGCTGTAATATTTTTATTAACCAAAGTGAACAGTAGAAGGGTGCTGAGGTTATTGACAGTTTCTCCCATGAACCATTTGTAAAGAAGACATGGCAGCCACAGCTGGGCCCTTGGCTCTTCACATGTTCTGCCTGGTAAGAAGGCATCTACATGCAGGCAGTTTCCTCTGTTGGATTTAATGGCTGGCAGGAAGGAAGGGGCAGTTTTATTATATCTCATCACATCAACATGTGTGTTTTGACCATCAAAGACCATTTGCTGATTTCTCGTCATTGATTATATCTCATTCTTAAGAAAAAACAAAGTCTCAAAGAACACCGTAGCCCCCAAGCCAAGTACAAATACCATGTGCTTTTCAAAGCACAAATATCATGTACTTTTCTAAGTAAGAATTGTTGCACTGTTGGACATGAATGAGTCATACAAGCCAGTTAGCTCAGCTGGATTTCAGAATGTCTTGGTGGCCTTTCAGTAACCAAGAGGTACCATTTAAGACAGAAGGGCAGCATGAACAGTGTTCCATAGATGGCAGAGAGAGATGCCCACACAGCAAAGGACTGTTGTACTCGCAACACTTTCAAAAGTTAAGCAGCTCCTGCAGCCTTGCAGGCTCCTACTGTGTGCATGGAGAAGACATTTTTAAACTGAAGCACGAGCAAAATCTTTGGAAGTCTGTCTGCTACTCTTCTCAGCAGCTTGACACTCTGCATAGGAAACTGAAGAGCAGTCATCTCAAAAGGAATTGAAAACTGAAAGTATCTGGAGATGCTCAGTATTTAACAAAACAAACAAACAAAAAAAAAACAATTTCTAATTCTAAACCTTTAGTTGCATTTGTAACCTCCAACTAGTTTAAAGGAATAGGACTTTTTGAAAACCAATACTGAATCTGATCTACATCTATAGAAAAAGTTGTCTTTGATTTTAAGGATTAACCAAATGAGAAAATTCAGGTAAAGGAAACAAGGTCCACCTGTTAGCACCTTCACAAAGATTATTTAGGTTATTTTAGATTAATGTTATCAGTTAACCTAAAACAGTGTAGTTCCAAGTTTTCACTACACTTTAAATAGTATTCCACATTTGCAGCACAGAGTTCAACAGTTACCAAAAATTTTGCTTTTATTCCCATAGAGTATTACTCTTACTTTACCGCTTGCATTAGTGGATGATACAGAATTAAATTACAATATTTTAATACTAATCTAAAGTTTTATTATATTTAATATTCATGAAGTTATGCAATGTACATACACAAGTATCTCCATTCCGTGCCTTCCTATTCCATTCCTGACGATTACAAAGCAGAACCTTTCACTGATTTATTACATAAATGCAAATCATTCACCATATAAATGTTAATATTTATTATGCAAATGTAAATTGTTTCAGAGGCAAGGTTATTTTATACTCAAAAATCTTTTCCTAATTGTTATTATTTAGAAATCAAAACAAAACCTTGATTTCCACAAAACTGAATTTTACAGAACTGCAACTGAATTGAAATTTAATGCAAAAGCAAAACAGAATTGGCAAGATAATCAAATTCATGTATTATTCCATTAAAAATGATTAATTTTGTCTTTTCCTCTTCTCCAACCACATTAGATGTTCAAAAATAAATATGACTTCTCCATAAATCTGGTTTACTTATCTTTAAGCTAAAATTCCTACAGCACTGTTAGATATATATAGCAAGAGCTTATCCATAAAAAAACTGTATAAACACATAAAAATGATTTCACTACAAAAGAAATTAAACTGCAAGTTCCAACCAGGTTTGTTTTTCAGTAAGGCCAAAAGACTGACAGACTTCTAATTCAAACAAACATCAAATGAAAAATCAGTGCAAGGAAACGTCTTTGTCTATGTAACGTATAAACGCTTCCTGCCTGCAAATTCCTGAAAGATAGATTCGTATGCATAAGAGAAGCATTAAGTTCTAGCATGTGTTCTTCCAATAATACAGATTAATCAGTGCTCTCTCAGACTCAAAGCTATCCTTACCTGGTAAATGATTTATCTGCAGACAACAATAATCAACCTGAATAAAGCACCAAATACAACAGAATAAAAGCTATAAAAGTTAGAAAACTAAGCTAACAAAACTGAGTTTGCAAATAATATTTTTATATTTTATAGTAGTTTAAAAGTGTAAAAGAGTTCTAGAAATATTTTTGGGAGATGTTTGCAAGTAAAAAAGTTTTATTAGTTTCTTATATCTACTTCAAATTTTATTGAGTTTGGGAAGAAACTTAATATATAAATTTTAAACTAAGCTTTATATTATATGTATGTATTTTAAGTTGACCTGATATATATCAGGGTAACATAAAACTAACATTCATCTGTATAGAAACTGCATGGAAAAAAAAGTTTTTAAAAACACATTAAATAAAAAAAACAAACCACACACATATTCACAAACCTTCCAGTAAACCCACAGTATACTTGAAGACCTAATATTTCTCACTCATGAGAATTATAAATAGATACTTTTGTATATTTGACAAAAAAAAGGATAGTCAGCTCTTCTGCAGTACAAAACCACTATCAATTCACAGGTTTTTGGAGGATATTGATCTTCAGATCTCTCATTTGCCTTTTATATAGGCTTAGGATTTTTTTTTTCCCACTTTAAATAGTGATAATGTCATCAGGAGCATTTTGATACTTAAAGAGTTATTCAGACTGTCAAAAGGGGCCCTGGCACGAGTAATCAGTAGGTCAGAATACTGGTAACACAGAGTAGTATAAAAAGGACACTGCCTAGAGTCTAGAAACTAAGCACAGGAGAGGGGAATTCATCAAAAGACATCCCAGTATGATTTCAGAACCTTATAAAGGAAATGTATGCATGCCAAAAAAAAGTCTCTAAAGTAAAACACACAGATCCTGTAACAGGGAAGAGGCCTTTTACCAGTGACAACAGGAACAGAAACAAATATGGAGTAGGTGCTTAACGATTAAGTTGGCCTCCAAAATTATGAAGAAAGCAAACCCGTTCTAGATGGCTATACTAGAAGCCTTCCTGTTAATTCCAGTTTGTTATACTTCGGAAATTTTCTCTGCTCTCCCCTGTAGTCACTGTTCTTCAGACAGTTTGTGTTTAGCATGCATTAGTAATAACATAAGGCCAACAGCTATGGATGCAGATGCCATAATAGGCATGAAATGTTTGTTCCAGGACACAAATTCATACAGTCCTTTAAAAACTTTGAAAGTGAACTTTGTATTTCTACAAAAAAAAAAGTCAATGGGTGATAAAGCCATGCCTATTTTGCCAAAATCAGTCTATTCTTTGCTCTACAAAAGCGCTGTGATACCAAAACCCCCAAAATCAGCCAATTGCTACTCCTGCGAGTCTGCATTCTCCCACACTGAGACAAGAGTCCTACTATTGGGAACGAGTGACTCGCCACACAATTTCAGATATTAACAGGAGTCTTTAGCTGAAATCCACAGTCTTGAGAAAGGCTTAATGACAGCTTCTACCTAAAACAGAATAGAGGTCTAGACTGCAGTAGGTGGGAGGCTCATGGGGGAAGGGTGCACACCCACAACTGAACTCTTTGGGTGTATACTTCAATCTGATTAAGTTTAAACTTGAAAATGAGGAGACAGAGGCAAAAAGCATTCCACCGACCAACAGTTATGTTTACAGCTAAGGTGGTTGACTTTGTATGCTCCTCAATAAAAATATCCACAAAATACAGGCCATAAAACAAAAGGGCATATCCAAAAATACACCTACATGGACCTGCTTCCTCCTGGTCACTAAGCAAGTCTGCTGGTGAGAGAAAAATCTATCAAATAATACCAAGACTCTGCTAAAAACTCAATACAACTTAAAGAGATAGTCAAACTTCAGTGAACTTTAGGTAAGATTCTTGTTCAGAAGTTATACTTTTAAACAAGGAAAATACTTGAGTTCTAAATACATTTTCTATTTAAGTAAGGTATCTGTTATCTTCATTTGTTTGCTATTAATCCTTAGCTTCACTTCAAGTTTTGGTATGGACACAATGCAGGACATTCAGAATCGAAGCTTACACATGCAGGGTTATGTCAAAGCTGAATGGTAAATGCCTTATGCCAGGCTTTGTTGCACTATATATGGAGTATAATAAAGCTATAGAATGCAGAAAAAGGCACATTATACTTTCTCTAGAACTGTGTAGCAAAGAGGGCGACAATGTGCTGCATCTGGTACTTTAATTAACTAGTAAATAGTAAGAGGAGACTTTTTAACGAAGTATCAAGAGAAGCATAACACATTTTATATAAGCTTTATATGTATCTTTGCCAATTGTGAAGTGCAGTATCTTCCTACTTATTCTTAATTAGATGCAGAAGAACTCGGTAAAAGCTAGAGAGAAGAACTGATGGTTGCAGGTGACTGTGCTAGTGTTAGTAAGACTCACTTACACAATACCTCCCAATGTCTTTCCTGTCAAAAGCTTGCTGAAAAGTCATGTTCTTAGGAAATCTTGGCTGGCAAGAGACTACCTCTCCTTCCTCTTTTTCATTCTCTTTTGGCAAATCATCACTACACAAAACGGAAAGAAATGCTGCAAAATGATCCAGAAAGGCAATACTGGCATTATGTGCCTTTACAGCCACTTTTGGTGAGGTGACCAAAAGCAGCAAGTGCTCCTACAAATGCCCCTAGGGTCCTCTCTGCCAAGCATCCCTCTCCCAGTCACCACCCTCTTTGAACGAGCCCCGGTGCCTTGAAGCACCCAAAAAGTGCAGCAGTCTGCCATGAAGCCACTGCTTTTCAGCTGCTCCCAACCCAAAGTTCCTGATTCATCTCCTTTCTCCTTGGGAACTAATGAGAAGCATTACGTATGTGAAGACTATTATGCTGATGTGTCAGCACTTGCACTAACTGTAACTTGCACTTGGAATAATACACTAACTTATCAATATGGCTAAAAGCCAAGAGATGAAAGGTAAGGTCTGAATACAAAATTATTCCTAAGTGCACAGTAATTAAATTGCAGCTCAACATGCATTACAGAGTTGCTCCAGGTAATATTTCTGTAACTGCCTACAGTGTAAAATATTAGGCTCCAACATTAGGTATAAACAGCAATCTGTACAAGAAAATGAACTATATTAATAGCTCGTATAGATTAAGATGAAAGCTTTAACTCTGGGCATCCTGTCTCCGAATAGTTTCAAAACAAACAAAAAACCCCCCCACAGAATCATAGAATGCTTAAGATTAGAAGTGACCTCTAGAGGTCATCTAGTCCAACCCCCCTGCACATGCACGTGGCACAGGACTGCATCCAAGCAGGTTTTGAAGATCTCCAGAGAAGGAGACTCCACAACCTCTCTGGGCAGCCTGGTCCACTGCTCTGTCAGCCTCACTGTTAAAAAATGTTTCCTTAAGTTCCTGTGGAACTTCTGGTGTTTCAGTTTGTGGCCATTACCACAAAATTAATTCACTCCATTTGACAGTGTCAGCCTTAGCTTGAGTTCAGAGTATTACTCAATGTGTCAAAAAAGAAGTACAGTAATTGTTTTGCCTATATTAAGCAAGTCCTCCACAGTTACTTAAGCACTTCACTGTACCAAGCCAAGTATATACTAGGTTATAGTACTGAAATTCTTATTTCCATTATCAATATTTATTTGTTATTTTATCAACATAAATAAAATATAATCTATGGAATTTTTCAGGAGGTTAGAGCGTCAAGGAAACTAATGAAAAAACACTGCCTCATTTTTTCTGTTGCCATTCAAGACATGGCAAGCAAAGGCAAGCCATTCCCTTTCAATGCTACAAGCCAGTGTAGCACCTGGGTATCTTGCCTACCAGGAAAAAAAGTAAGGTTAGCCTCCTTGTATATTTTCTTGTGGTTGCTGCCCTGACTTCTCTTGGAAGGGCACCAGATGTAGCTCTCCAGTGGCAACAAACCTATTTGCACCATATGTTGCAAACTGCCTGAAATCCTGGATTCATCAAAGATTAGGAGCACACTGCAATACAAAGCTTCAAAGAGATGCACTGAGTCAGTAAATGCAGATGCATTCTTTGGAGAAAGAGGAGAGGAGAGGGGAGGGAGAAAAAAAATCCTAATCCCTGCTGAAATGTTAAAGCTGTTTCTTCCTTCAAGAGGAAGAATTACATTTGCCCTTACTACTGCTTAAAATAAAACAAATGGCTACACCCAGAGCCAAAAACACTAAGAGGGAGAGGCATAAAAGTCCCGTGTAATTTCTTTTTCCAAAGCAAACTCAAAATATATGTGCTTTCAGGTAAATTAATTTTAAGATTGGCTGATGTAGTATGACTATATTAATTTATCTTCCTGTTGGGCTGTTAACCCAGTTCATGGGTTTTTTGTTTTGTTTTTAATCTTTTTACAACATGTCCAACTGTGGTAAAACTTCAGAATCTCCACATTAATCTGTCCTCTTGCATCAACACATTTCACAACTGAATACTAGATAGCATGAAAACATTTTAAGTGGTGCTTGGTATTTTAACTCTGACTTTTTGTTAAAAGAATTTTTTATAAAGTTCTTTACTACGCATCTCCTTCAGTTTCACAGATACAATAAAAGAAACACTTAATTTTTTTTATTACAGATTCACTAAAATAACTGCTCACCATCTTTACTCAAAATCTTTTTGGGGGAAAGCTGAAAAGAAGGGGAAAAAAAAAAGTCCTAACTTTAGTTTACAGAAGCCCCTTTGACACTTCCATAGTGAATATTTTAACACTTCTAGATGACTGTATAGAGGCTTTAGACTGAACGGGGAAGTATTCTGATCACTTTAAATAAGACATAAGTGGATAAGATACAACATAAATTCTTAAAACAGTAAGTAGCACAGACTATGCGCTTCTAGGCTTCAATCAGGCAATTAAGACTCACTTGCGAGGGCGTACTTGTTAGCTCCATCTTTTCTTGGGATTTTTCCTTTGCTAGTCGTGCAGCTTCTTTGAATTCCTGAAATTTGTCCGCAAACTGAAGGTACATATGTTGAAAGAGTAAGAGAGAGAAAGAGAGAGAGAGAGAGAGAGAGAGAGAGAAGAAGGGAGGGAGATAGTAGGCGTGAAGTAGTTACATTACATGCAGAACAGAATGTAATACTTAACATTTTACAAAGTCAAATTCTGTCAGTAGATTTTTTTTCCTCCTTATTAGATACTCATTTAAGTGAGTTAC